ACCATTGTTGGAAAAGACTTAATACAAAGGCTTGAAATCAGTACTTTGAGATCGCTCCTCAATCCATTCTCAAACTTCCGACACTGCCACTCTTCACTGGTAGCCATGGTGTTGAATCGTACTAAATGCTTGAATTTGTTGGTGTACTCAGAGACAGACATCCCACCTTGCACTAATTGAAGAAACTCTACTTCCTTGGCGAAACGAACGCTATTTGGGAAGTATTCTTCATAAAACTTGCTTCTGAATACTTCCCATGAAATGGGACTTTGAGCGTCCGTTAATACCATCTTCATGCTCGTCCACCAATGATTGGCCTCTCCAGTCAGTAGATACTCAGTGAATGACAAGCGATTGTCGTCTGGACACCTCTTGGCATTGTAGATCCGCTCCATATCTCGCAACCACTGATCAGCCTCATCAGGAAGACACTTCCCATTGAATATGGCAGGATGATGTTGGAGGAAGCTCTCTAAGGTCCACTCGGTATGATGAGTAGCGTTGGAAGTGGACGCTCCGGATGCGTTCCTCGTGGTTGAGATGATCTCCATCAGTTGTCTTTGGATAGCTTATGAGTTTGCCCGTGCGGCCTCCAAACTCTTCAAAGCGACCGTGTTCTACTGCACCAAAGTAGCGTTCTACTGTTGAAGCGCCTCTATTACTGATTCCAGTAGTCTAGTGTGACCAGACACATCACGCTCGGTAGGTTGAGGAGGAGGTCTTGGTGCCATTCGTTCTCTCTGAGAAGCAGAGAAAACAATCATTAGTTAAATTTAAGGAGTTTGAATCACGCATCAAACGAACGTTGGGCACACAGCACAAGCATAGTATGCTCACAACCTACAATGGTCTTTAGGAACAAATATGCTCTGATACCACTAATGTAACATCCCAAATATACGGCTACAAACTATATATTAAAATAATAACATTAATAACAAACCAGATCAGTCTTACAATAGAGTCGAGCGTACGCTCATGGCCGAACGGCCTTACAAAAGGAGTTGCGATTTGAGATGTACAAGATAAACAAACTTGACCGAACGGTTCACTAAAGAGAATTACCGAACGGTCATACTTAACAAAAAGGAAGGTGATCGAACGACCACCTTATTATAATTAGACTATTGATCGAACGTCCTACTGTTCGGTCTTTACTTCAGTTTCTTCCAAAATTTCTTTTTCCAGCGCCTCTTCTAGCCGCTCGTCTCCTTCTGCTCACATCCACACGGATGATCATTGGATTAATAAGGAAAAACCAGACACGACAGGAAACGCAGGGTAAGCTTATGTAATTTAATTCATGTATAAACATACATTTCAAATAATCCAACAACAAATAAATTTCAACGTACGTATCATACAAAGCCTATCACTAGACTGACTGTCCGGACTGTATGAAACCTATGTAGCTACAGGCGTTCGTGCACCCGGGTGATGTAGTAACTGGGATACACTCAACAGTTGCCACCCGAGGTTAGCTCTATCTGTCCAAAGTACCCCTAAGGACTAGGACCTCCTGCCGTTCCCACACATGACCTACCCTCCTCTATGTGAGGACGAGTACTCACGGAACATCAGGATGAACAGCCAGCATTAGCTTCCCACAGTCATACTTTACAATTTCAACATTCATCCATGAGTCGTTCCTCCCTGGAATGCTCGTTCAACTTCACATCATTTCATTCATAATCATTTTTAATTCCATCTTTCATTATCACTTTTCTCAATTTCATCTTTCATTGCCAATAAGTTAAATTTCATCTTTGTTCAAAGATTTATAAAGACACCAGATACCGAACGTTCAATCCTCACTCAGAACGAGGACGAACGCTTGAGACGAGACAGATAGGTCTCGAGTTCCAGAATAGAATAAGACCGAGAGGTTTACTGTCGGTTTGAGAGAGAAACCGAGTGTAATAGATATAGCAAGGAACGAAGGAACCGAACGTTCATTACAAAGTGAATCAATTATATGAACGGACTCTTGATAACTCTGACCGAACGCTGAAAAGACCTCGCCAAAGGCTACGACTCTATGCTGGAACCAATCGATACAGACACTTCAAGATATTCCAANTGGAAAAGACTTAATACAAAGGCTTGAAATCAGTACTTTGAGATCGCTCCTCAATCCATTCTCAAACTTCCGACACTGCCACTCTTCACTGGTAGCCATGGTGTTGAATCGTACTAAATGCTTGAATTTGTTGGTGTACTCAGAGACAGACATCCCACCTTGCACTAATTGAAGAAACTCTACTTCCTTGGCGAAACGAACGCTATTTGGGAAGTATTCTTCATAAAACTTGCTTCTGAATACTTCCCATGAAATGGGACTTTGAGCGTCCGTTAATACCATCTTCATGCTCGTCCACCAATGATTGGCCTCTCCAGTCAGTAGATACTCAGTGAATGACAAGCGATTGTCGTCTGGACACCTCTTGGCATTGTAGATCCGCTCCATATCTCGCAACCACTGATCAGCCTCATCAGGAAGACACTTCCCATTGAATATGGCAGGATGATGTTGGAGGAAGCTCTCTAAGGTCCACTCGGTATGATGAGTAGCGTTGGAAGTGGACGCTCCGGATGCGTTCCTCGTGGTTGAGATGATCTCCATCAGTTGTCTTTGGATAGCTTATGAGTTTGCCCGTGCGGCCTCCAAACTCTTCAAAGCGACCGTGTTCTACTGCACCAAAGTAGCGTTCTACTGTTGAAGCGCCTCTATTACTGATTCCAGTAGTCTAGTGTGACCAGACACATCACGCTCGGTAGGTTGAGGAGGAGGTCTTGGTGCCATTCGTTCTCTCTGAGAAGCAGAGAAAACAATCATTAGTTAAATTTAAGGAGTTTGAATCACGCATCAAACGAACGTTGGGCACACAGCACAAGCATAGTATGCTCACAACCTACAATGGTCTTTAGGAACAAATATGCTCTGATACCACTAATGTAACATCCCAAATATACGGCTACAAACTATATATTAAAATAATAACATTAATAACAAACCAGATCAGTCTTACAATAGAGTCGAGCGTACGCTCATGGCCGAACGGCCTTACAAAAGGAGTTGCGATTTGAGATGTACAAGATAAACAAACTTGACCGAACGGTTCACTAAAGAGAATTACCGAACGGTCATACTTAACAAAAAGGAAGGTGATCGAACGACCACCTTATTATAATTAGACTATTGATCGAACGTCCTACTGTTCGGTCTTTACTTCAGTTTCTTCCAAAATTTCTTTTTCCAGCGCCTCTTCTAGCCGCTCGTCTCCTTCTGCTCACATCCACACGGATGATCATTGGATTAATAAGGAAAAACCAGACACGACAGGAAACGCAGGGTAAGCTTATGTAATTTAATTCATGTATAAACATACATTTCAAATAATCCAACAACAAATAAATTTCAACGTACGTATATTACAAAGCCTATCACTAGACTGACTGTCCGGACTGTATGAAACCTATGTAGCTACAGGCGTTCGTGCACCCGGGTGATGTAGTAACTGGGATACACTCAACAGTTGCCACCCGAGGTTAGCTCTATCTGTCCAAAGTACCCCTAAGGACTAGGACCTCCTGCCGTTCCCACACATGACCTACCCTCCTCTATGTGAGGACGAGTACTCACGGAACATCAGGATGAACAGCCAGCATTAGCTTCCCACAGTCATACTTTACAATTTCAACATTCATCCATGAGTCGTTCCTCCCTGGAATGCTCGTTCAACTTCACATCATTTCATTCATAATCATTTTTAATTCCATCTTTCATTATCACTTTTCTCAATTTCATCTTTCATTGCCAATAAGTTAAATTTCATCTTTGTTCAAAGATTTATAAAGACACCAGATACCGAACGTTCAATCCTCACTCAGAACGAGGACGAACGCTTGAGACGAGACAGATAGGTCTCGAGTTCCAGAATAGAATAAGACCGAGAGGTTTACTGTCGGAGATCGGAAGA